GGGGAGGGGTCTGCCGGCGGGGGGAGGGGGCCTGCCGCGGGGGGGGGTCTGCCGCCGGGGGTGTCTGCCGGTGGGGGGAGGGGTCTCCCGGCGGGGGGGAGGGGCTCTGCCGGCGGGCGGGGGTCTCTGCAGGCCCGGAGGGGTTGAGACCCTGCGGCGTGAGCGGCCTCCCCTGGGCCGCCAGGCATCTTCCGGGGGGACCTTCCCGGTCACCTGTGCCTTCCAGGGTCTTCGAGCTACTTAACAATCCTGTAAACTGTTGGAAAACGGATTATACGCGAAGCACCCTTGTTCCTAAACACTTCTCGGGGCCGCGCCGAGCCCCCGCTGCGCGCCCTCGGGGTCCCCCAGGCGCCGCTGCGGGCCGGGGAGCCGGGGAGAACCCGCAACGCGGCCCGTGTGACCTCCCGGACGGCCTGGTGCCCGCCGAGCCCCTCCGCGCGGACCGCACGGTGCTGGGGGGTGAGCGGATTCACTTCCACCTGCGGAGGTGGCTCCCTGGGGCCGGGACCCCTCCCGCGTCCCCGTGTCCTTCCTCTACCCACCCCGCCCCCCCAGGCCTGAGGCCTCTCGGAGACAGAGGCCCCCCAGGTTCACTGCCGGCCTCTCAGGAGGCAGCCCTGCCCCCGGTGGGCAGCGGGGTCTGGGCTTCGGAAGACCTTGGAAAGCTGCGGAGGCACTGGGGGGCCGGGGGCGGCTTGTGCCCTCCCGGTGTGTGATTGATTGATTGATTGATTGATTGATTTTTGAGTGTATTTATTTTGGAGAGAGAGCGAGAGAGAGAGAGCATGAGACTTGGAGGGACAGAGAGTGAGAGAGAGAGAACCCCAAGCAGGCTCCACCTGTGAGCCTGAAGCCGGACATGGGGCTCAAACTCAGGAACCCTGAGAGGATGACTTGAGCTGAAGTCGGAGGCTTAACTGACTGAGCCCCCATCCCCCCCACCGCCCGTCCCTCCCCCCCCCCATGTGTGCCCTTAGACATCAGGCAGACGAGTCCAGAGCTGTTGCCTCTTGTTTGGACCAGTACCGCCCGTCACCACATCGTTGACTCCGTTATTCCAGAAACTCCACCTCCTATCCACGCAGTCACTTCTCCTTTGCCTGGTCACCCATCTGTTCATCATTCAGCAAACACTCGCTGAGCCTCACTCTGCACGAGCTTGGGGGGGGGGGGCTGGCCGACAGTGATGGGGAAACACATCCGTGGGCCCCACGGAGATCTCACCTCTCACCCACCACAGGCTCCTATATGGAAAAAAAACAAAAAAAAAACAAGAAAACAGAAAATAACAAGTGCTGGCATGGATGTGGAGAAATCGGAACCTTCAGACACTGCTCGTGAGAATGTGCCGCAGAGGAGAGTGTGGAGGTTCCTCAGACAATTACAAGTACCGTGTGGTCCAGCAACTCCTCTTCTGAGCACAAACCCCAAAAGAATTCAAATTTTAGGATCTTGAAGAGATGTTCGCACACCCATGCTCATAGCTCTGATTCACGATGGCCGGGACACAGAAGCAACCGAGCGTCATAGAGGGAGAGGTGGGTGAACAAAATGTGGCCAATGTGGCCTGTTAGGCTTCAAAAGGCCGGCACCGTGTGGGCTCAGAGGTCATCAAATCCTGCAATTCTGTGAGGAGCTACAGTTAGGGGAGACAGACATGGCAGTAAACACATAAGTCTGCACCAGCGTGTCAGGAGGGGGTAAGTGCCGGGAGAAAGATGCAGCAGGAGAGGGGCGGTGGCCAGGGAAGGCTTTTCAGGGGACACCTTAGATGTGTAGGAGGTGAGGGCACAGCTCTGAGAAGAGCCTCTGGGCAGGTGGGAGAGCAGGTGCAAAGGCCCGAAGCTCTCCTAGAAGACGGTTCCTCCCTCCAAAGGGCCCTTCGCCCTTATTCATGCCTTCGTGATGGTGTAATTGGATCCCTGTAAGGACAATCACCTGATTATGCCGCTTTGTCCTAAGGAGTATTTGGAGCTGTAGGCTACTGAGGTAGAAAGAGTTCTCTGCTCTCCCCTTTCTGCCTAAAAGCAGGACATAAATTTCCTGATGAAGAAGGTGTCCCCTCCTCCCCCATTCTAGGGAGAGAAGAGGGACTTTTAGCCATCAGAGACGGAAGTTGACACCAGGATGAGTTTGCATAAACAGACCTCATAACGTGGTCGTCTTCTTCCATCAGTCCCCTACGGATGTCCTAGCTGCTTCCGCACAATTCACCCCTTCAGCTCTACACCCTTTTTCTTGTGCTAAAATGGTATATAAGCCTCGATTCTAACCACTTCTTTGAATTTCCCTTCTTTTCTGTGAACCCCCATGCACATAAACATTAATAAAAAGTGTACATCTTTTCTTCTGTTATTCTGTCTTTTATAGTTTAATTCACAGTCCCCAGGGACAGAACATAAGAGGGTACAGGAAAAGCTTTTCCTCCCTCAACATCTTCAGTTCTCTACTCTGAACACAGCCTGGCTCTTACGATGCTAGAGTTTGGATGTACCATAATTTAACCAGCTCCGTAGTGAAAGATGCCTAGATTCTCCCCAGTGTTTTGTTATTACGAACACATATGGTACGTATTTCTCCAGATTGGGCAGGATTTGATCTTCACTTCCAACAGCACAAGTAACCATCTGCCAGTGTTTGGGTTTCTTCTACAGTCAGCAAACACTGCTGCCAGAGCCAGTCAAGGCACAGAAAACAAAAAGCCTGAAGTGGCTTACACTTCACTAATTTTAGAATTCCTAAGTACAGTTATATGATGACTCATCCCACCTCAATTCAAAGCTGTTTAATGGGCCATCTGGTTCATCAGAATATGAAAGACTTTGCCCAGCAACCTAGAAAAGAACCCAGGAAGATTAAAAAAAAAAAAAAACATTCTTAACCACCGAGGGGAAGTCCCTCTGAGATGTCAGCTAAGCATTAGCTCCTTGAGGACAGGGATGTGGTTGAATAAACAAACTACATTTCATCTGGACCTATTTTTCTGTAAAACAATGCCTTTTAAAAATTTTTTAATGTTTTATTTATTTTTGAGAGAGAGAGAGAGAGAGGGAGAGACAACGTGAGCAGGGGAGGGTCAGAGAGAGAGGGAGACACAGAATCCAAAGCAGGCTCCAGCCTCTGAGCTGTCAGCACAGAGCCCGACGCGGGGCTTGAACTCACGAACCGTGAGATCATGACCCGAGCCGAAGTCAGACACTTAACCTTAATGACTGAGCCACCCAGGCGCCCCAACAAGGCCTTTTTAAAATAAAATTAATGTGGGGCGCCTGGGTGGCTTAGTCGGTTAAGCGTCCGACTTTCGCTTAGGTCATGATCTCGCGGTTTGTGGGTTTGAGCCCCGCGTCGGGCTCTGTGCTGACTGCCAGCTCAGAGACTGGAACCTGTTTCAGTTGGTGACTCTCTCTCTCTCTGACCCTCCCCTGCTCAAGCTGTCTCTCTCTCTCTCTCTCCTAGAAATAAATAAAACATATAAAAAAAATAAAAAATAAAATAAAATTAATGTTTATTTATTTTGAGAGAGAGAGAGAGAGAGCAAGCAGGGGAGCGGCAGAGAGAGAGGGAGACAGAGAATCCCAAGCGGGCTAAGCAATGTCAGTGCAGAGCCCCATGCGGGGCTTGAACTCATGAACCACTAAGACCATGACCTGAGCCAAAATCAGGAGTCAGACACTTACCTGACTAAGCCTCCCAGGTGCCCCGGCCTTTTTTTTTTTTTTCTGATTATGAAAGCAAAGCAACCCAAAGCACAAGTAACCAAAGAAAAATAGACAAATTAAGACTTTATCAAAATTAAAAACTTCTGCGCTTCAAAGGAAATGATACGAAAGTGATAGGAGAACACAGGGAATGAGAGAACATGTGTAAATCCCATACCTGACCAGGGTCTTCTAATACTGAGAATCTATAAACACACTTACAACTCAACAATACAAATAACCCAACTAAAAACGGGCAAAGGACGCAAACAGACCTTTCTTCAAAGAAGATGTAGGAATGGCCAGGAAGTACATGAAAAGATGCTCGAGGTCGTTAAGCCATCAAGTGCAAGTCAAAACCACAATAAGACGCATGTCCACTCACGAGGACGGCTAGGAGTAAAAGTAGACAATAGCGAGTGCGGGGGAAGATGCAGAGAAATTGGAGCCTTCGCCCACTGCTTCTGGAAATGTACGATTATGCAGTTTCTTTTGAAAACATCTGGCGTTTCCTCAAAGTGTTAAACTTACAGTTACCGTATGATCCCACGATTCCATTCCTAGATGCTGACCTGAGGAAAAGGGAAGGATTTGTCCACACTTTTAAAAGCTTGTACATGGGGACGCCTCAGTGGCACAATCGGTTAAGCGTCTGACTTCAGCTCAGGTCATGATCTCACATTTCATGGGTTTGAGCCCTGCGTCTGGCTCTCTGCTGAGAGTTT